ATCTATCTATCTACCTATCTATCTATCTATCTATCTATCTATCTATCTATCTATCTATCTATCTATCTATCTATCTATCTATCTTTCTCGGTTTTGAATTTTCTTTTGGCTCAATTAAGTCTATACAATAAGTAAGATAGAGCCGGATAGTGTTCTTGGCCTAGTGTTAACGTGAGACTTTTACAAGAATGGCACCCAGTTCTGATGATTTCTATCATTTGATGGACGAAATCTCATCACGTTTTTACCCGAAACGAGGGAGGAAGTCTCGTGGACTGCGTCAACATGAATATAGTATAAAAACCAAACGTCTGCAGAATAACGGGATTCAGCCGTCGTCTTCTGGTGAGATCAACCAACGAATCTCTTCTTCATGCACTTTTATACGAAATGAAAGTCCTTCTAACAATAGAAAAGTCGCTTAGCAACCCATTCTTTCCTACCTCATGCTTACGTTAAATGTAATCCTCAAGTTCTTATGGAGTCGAGAGACCAAGCTCTGAGTGATCTCGTCGTCAGGCTCTACGTCAGGTTGAATCAACTGCTCGTCATCATGACCATCCGTGTGTGAGCAGCATTGCTGATTGTCCTCAGCATCTTGGCTCAAAATACAGACTTCATCTGTGCCATTGTCATCGTTATCGACGGCATCATCATCATCCGCATCAGTAACCCCTAGTTTACTTCGAGCATTACCAAGTCTTCGAGTCTGATTGGGTCTTTTGCAAAAGGTGAAGAATTTGCCGATGCTAGATCCGTCGGTGGCTCCGTGTCCTGAGGCAGCCGCGGATCGTGGTTCTGGCAACAGGAAGATGAGAATCAAGTAGAATGGCAAGAAGCCGGCCAAAGCAAAGATGAACACTATTCTGAAATTGAGATGTTGAATCAGAACGCCTAAGCGCCATTTTGTGAATGCAAGGTGTAGGGAGAAGAAAAAGAGAGAGAGATAATGTAGAAAATATGGGCAGAGTTGTGCTAATGAATGCTGAAATATCAAATAAAACAAACAGACTGTCGGTTTTAAAAAGTAATGATATTAAATTAATGAGAGTGGTAGCATAGCGAGAGGGGATATAAACGGGAAAATATTAAATAAAACAGGGTATGAAAGAGTTGTATAGTAAGTAACACTTTTTCGTCACAGTTATCAGCGGCCTGATTGTTATGGTTATATCTTAATTTCGACTGCTCCCACAGCATTGACTCGATTTTCATTTCGAGGGAAGATGTGTGATGTAGAGATTCGTGTGTATGCACATTCCTACACAAACACACAAATACACATACATCAACAAAGAAAGAGGACGTAAGGAAGTATCCAAGTTTTTTATACCTGCAAAATAGTCAGTTAGTTTTATTAACTTTTTGTAAGATCAAGACTAAAATAAGAATGCACCATTTCAAATGAAGGAAGAAAGCTGGTCACATTCTCATTGGAGCCAAGGTAGAATATCTAGAGGACTGCATTAACCACAACATTTCAGTAAGATCAAAGTACAACAGGTCATGTAGAACATGAGATCGTTTTCTGATGAAATCCCTCAATTAATTACTTCATAACATACTTTCGCTCGACAATGATATACCAAGAGATTCCTAGGAAATCAGTTACTCCTTATAAGTACAGTTCCAAAATTTGGGTACTGAACAAGTTATTTGGTTATAATAAAATTTCGTTCAAGCAGACAAAAAAATAAACTATTATGTCACCAAAAAACAGTAAACTTACTCGTTAGTCCAAAGATTTCATTATTGCCGTACTCATTATACTTAGATTTTATTTGTACGTGCCATAAGGAAATGAAGTGAATTCTGTCTTGGCTCAACTGAAAAAAAACTACATTTTTTTGTGTGCTCATCCAAACTGAAGTGAATTTTCGACCCCACTTTATCGTCTCATCAAATCTCCCAACAGGAGAGGATGAGATGTAAAGCAAACATATAAGCCTGAAAGGAACACAACCCCAGCTAGGTTGTTTTACGACGAGCATAACTTTCAAGGGATGTCAAACCCTCTTTAAGCTAAATCAATTTGTGGAGAATTTCGTAGCAAGAGAAAAATCTGCATTTTTG